ATTTTGCCAACAACCATGTAAGCTTGGGAGGGGGTCCAGAGCCTCAGATGAGATGCCTAGTTGGTGCTGACACCTTGATTTCAGCCTCGTGAGATCATTAGATGGGAACCTGGTTGAACCCTGCATGGACTGCTGACCTACAAAATTGCAAGAGAAGAAATGGGCATTGCTTTACGGTAGGAAATTTGTGGTCCTCTGTTACATAGCGGTAGAGAACGAATATAGCCATACTCCCAGTTCTTATGCTGGCACTCTCTTGATCTTACAAGAAAGTTCACATGAATGGGAGGTTCACAGAAAACAGCTAAACCCCTATTCCTTTCTCAAATAGTATTTAAAATAGTTCCTTGACCAAAATACCAAGAGCTTACCTTTTGTCCAGTCATGCCACCAAGAACACAGCCCATTATGCTTATGCTTACAAACAACTACGCCACAAATCCCTGCATGTGTAAGACATAGTCCAATTTCAGAGATGTTTAAATATGAAATAAAAATCAAGCTTAGGATCAATAACATACAGAAATCCACTCCCATCATTTTCCTCTTGTATTTTTAGACTCAATGGAATGTTGAGTGAATTGCAGTTCATTCAGCTCTGAAGGTTCGGCCTCCTCTTTGGCATTCTTTGTGGGTTCAAAAGAAAAAGCATCATCTGTGTTCCATTATATTAGCAGATAATAGTCCTTAATTTCCTCTGAAAGTTTCTGAGACACCTGGAAGTGAAATACTGAAAAATGTGCAATATGACTGCTTAATGTGAAATGTATCTAATATAAAGGAGGTGGATGGATAATTAAAATTCAGATATTCGCAAGGATTTAAAAAATGCATAATTGTAGTATTATATATGTATCTCTTAACAATACATTATATAGTCACACAATGAAATAGTGTACATCAGTGGAAGTAAATGACAGCTGTGCACAATAAAATTATCTTAGAAGCATGTTCAGTGAAAAAATCAAATCCCTATAGACTGTGTAAAATATAGTACCCTTTTTATAGGAATCAAAATGGAACAAAACTAAAAACTGTCACTTTAGGGATGCATACATATTTTAGGTCTTTTTCCATGTGACGTAACTACCAAAAAGAGGGTGTAGGGAGGTGGGGAGAATAGGAAAGGAGCATAAATAATAAATGCAAAGTATGCATCATGTTCTAATTCTTTTTTTTTTAATATTTTTATTTATTTCTAGGAGAGAGAGAGACAGACAGCGTGAGCAGGGGAGGGTCAAAGAGAGAGGGAGTCACAGACTGAAACAGGCTCCAGGCTCTGAGCTGGCAGTCAGCACAGAGCCCAACGCGGGGCTCGAACCTACGAACCGCGAGATCATGACCTAAGTGAAAGTAGGTCGCTTAACCGACTAAGCCACCCAGGCGCCCCCATGTTCTAATTCTTAAGTTAGGTGATGAATGATTATGTTTGATAACTTATCTGCATGTTACATATCCTTTTCTAAGTGTCAAGTATTAAAACATAAGTGCAAAATTATGTATTAAAATATTGGCAAAATTTATATTTGCACAGTTGTTTTTTAGACTGTGCTTATTTTATCAGTGTTCTTAATCGACTGAGCCACCCAGGCGCCCGGACTTCAGTGTTCTTAATTAGAGGCAACTCAGGTTAATTTTAACAAAAAGTGATTTTATTAAAAGGCTAATAAGCAGCCCTCAGGATCTCTAAGGCAGCCGGAAAACCACAATTAGAGGCTACAGAGCCTCCAGTCACTTGAGGTAATTGCTTCAGTGAAGATGCCAGTGTGTTGAAGAGACACGGCAGTCTGCACCATGATGTTGCCGGCACTGGATACTGAATGTTGTCACTAAAGCCACTTTGGCTGCTCCTCTGTGGAACAGGATATAGTAGCCAGTGTTGTAGGCCTTTACTCAAAAAGAATTCTGCATAGTTCCTACTTCTTTGTATGCCTAGCTTTAAAGGCAGATGTATCTTCCTTAGCTGCAAAAGAGGCTGGGAAAACATCTGACACTTAAATTTCTTAGGAGGGAGGAAGGCTCGGTCTCATTAGGTGAGGGACTCCCTAACAGGATAGGAATGATATTGGGCAGCCTGGAAAGAAATGACAGTTGTCTGCCACAGCCCATGGCTGCTCAACACCAACACCTTCAACTTTCACTTATTAAGAGTGATTCGGTGAACAGTCAGAGTGGCCAAAATGAACAAACCGGGAGACTATAGATGCTGGCGAGGATGCAGAGAAACGGGCGCCCTCTTACACTGTTGGTGGGAATGCAAACTGGTGCAGCCCCTCTGGAGAACAGTGTGGAGGTTCCTCAAAAAATTAACAATAGAACTCCCCTATGACCCAGCACTAGCACTGCTAGGAATTTACTCGAGGGATACAAGAGTGCTGATGCATAGGGGCACATGTACCCCAACGCTTATAGCAGCACTCTCAACAATAGCCAAATCATGGAAACAGTCTAAATCTCCATCAACTGACGAATGGATCAAGAAGATGTGGTTTGGGGTGCCTGGGTGGCTCAGTTGGTTAAGCGTCCAACTTCAGCTCAGGTCATGATCTCTCTGTTCATGGGTTCGAGCCCCGCATCGGGCTCTGTGCTGACAGCTAGCTCAGAGCCTGGAGCCTGTTTCAGATTCTGTATCTCCCTCTCTCTCTCAGACTCCCCTCTCACGCCGTCTTTCTCTCTCTCTCTCAGAAAAAAAAAAAAAAAAGATGTGGCTTATCTATACAATGGAATACTACATGGCAATGAGAAAGAATGAAATCTGGCTGTTTGTAGCAACGTGGATGGATCTCAAGGGTGTTACGCTAAGTGAAATAAGTCAGGCAGAGAAGGACATGTGTTTTCACTCATACATGGAAAAGGACAAACTTAACAGAATCATGGGGGAGGGGAAGGGGAGAAAAAATAGTTAAGGAGAGGGAGGGAGGCAAACCATGAGAGACTCTTAAATACTGAGAACAAACTGAAGGTTGATGGGGGGGTGGAGGAGAGGGGAAAGTGGGTGATGGGCATTGAGAAGGGCACTTGTTGGGATGAGCACTGTGTGTTATATGGAAACCAACTTGACCATAAACTATACTTAAAAAAATAAACTTGTTTAAAAAATAAAAAAAATAAAATGATTCAGTGTAAAAGGACTTGTCATTGTTAATTGCTTTCTCAATACTCTTTCCTCCTTGCTATTAGAATACTGATTTTATTTTAAAATTTTTTATAGTTTATTTTTGAGACAGAGAGAGACAGAGCATGAGTGGGGGAGGGGCAGAGAGAGAGGAAGACCCAGAATCTGAAGCAGGCTCCAGGCTCTGATCTGTCAGCACAGAGCTTAATGTGGGAGCTCAAACCCACGAACCATGAGATCTGACCTGAGCCGAAGTCGGACGCCAGACGCTTAACCAACTGAGCCACCCAGGCGCCCCTAGAATACTGATTTTATTTGAGGCAGCTAGGTACCCAGCCTCCTTTGAAGATAGAAGTTACCATTTAAAGAGGCAGGCAAATTAAGCCAAGGGGAAATGTCTGGAACTTCAGGGAAAGCTTTGCTTCTCTTTTATAAAGAGGCTACGCAGAGCTGGCACAAGCCATTTCCCCTTTCCTTCTTGCCTTCAGTACGGACATGGAATCTGGTACAGCACCGACCTGTTTGCAACCACAGAAGAGAGCATGGAGGAGGAAAACGGGCATACTAAGAAGGCGGATCTGAAAGACAGAACTGCACTCTTTGTTTGCAGGTAAGATCAGTGATTAAACATTGTTTGGGTCAGTTACTGCACACATGGTCTCAGCTGCACCCTTCTAGAAGAGAGAGGACAATTACGTCTCATGAGTTAAAACTCCATTTATCAAATTCATATTTTCTAATATATGGCCTGTGGTGTTTCTTTTGCACTATTAGTAAAAATAGATTTTGCTAATCAAGAACCACTTGAACTCAGTATTTGGCATTTAAAGGCAGCTTGACTTAGTGGTTAAGAATATGTTTAAGGGTCTCTCTGGGTTGGAACCTTGGTTCCAGTTTAGACAGATGGCATCAGCTCCTTGTGCCTGAGTGTGTGTAAAATGAGGTACGGGTGGAATGGAGATTATATGGGGACTAGAAAGCACCAAGCTTTCCCCTCCTCCCGGCCCCTCCTCTGTATCCTACATCCACATGTTGGATTTATCCTGCGCTGTAACTGTATGTATACTTGTCTCCTCTACCAAATTGTTCTTCGAAAACAGCATCAACGCCCTTCCCTCACCTTTTTTCTATTCATGACTCCAAGTGAAGTGCCTGATACACAGCAGATTAGACATCGTCAAACTAGTATCCTTAGAAGTTATCCTGGATGATTATAAAATACAGATTCCTGGATCCCATTCCTAAATTTCTCTCTCAGTAGTCATTAAACAATTTTGGGGTACACTGAAATAGACCTTCAATGTTTGAATCAAATTATGTGAAAGGTAAGGTAAAAGGTAAAGTCAAGGTAAAAGGTACTAAGGTAAAAATCAGTAATATTTAAGCATTTTTCAAGGTATGTCTAAACTCAGTTTTTATAATTTGATTTGTAATCATTTAATTTTGGATTTCTAAATCACGACGAAATCTCTAAAACCATTTTAGTTATTTATTTGTTTAGTTGAGTGAGAGCGAGAGCCAGCACGTGGGCCAGAGAGAGGGGCAGAGGAAGAGAGTCTCAAGCAAGGTCCAAGTTCAGTGTGGAGCCCGACGTGGGGCTTGAACCAGCAAACCTAGGATCATGACCGGAGTCGAAATCACACTCAACCAGCTAGACCATGGAAGGACTCTTCTAATTTTAGTGTATGTGCTGCCGAAGTGAGCACAGAAGGACTCTTCTAAAACCATTTTAGAAACAACTATTTGTAGACTTCTATAGCTGACTACATTATGATAATTACAAAATATTTCTGAAAAGCCCCGTCTACTTGACAGGTTGCTATATATGTGAAAAATAAACCTTGGTATTTCCTGATAATTAGACTCAATGCAGAATAAAATTAACTGTTATTCTCAAAATGAAGTTTTTATTAGAAATGATATATTTATATTAACACTAGCCAGAATTTACATTATGTTGGGCACTGAGAACTCTTAGACTCAAACTTCAAACTTTGATTTGCCAGGGCGAAAAGTTACCATGTAGAATTATCCTGATATCCAAGATGTAAAGTACTTTATAAACCCCTTAAAAAGGAACATAAGGCAGATAGACACCATGTCATACTTTAACAGGCCATTTGATGACTATCGTTTTTACTGAAAACTGGGTATGGGACCTGACAGATTGTATAGGGGTACCTGCTTCCTGAGTGGAACTGTGGGACATGCAGTGGCATTCAGGACAATATACTTCAAGCCAAAAGGCTGGACTAACGGTTTACTTACTCTTGGAAGACAAAATAAAAATGCCTACACTGGAGGTGGTAGTCTTTTTCAAATTCTGTGTGGGACTTTGAATAGAAATTTGACAAATTCTAAAATACCTCATTATTAAAGACCACCACTATAGGCGAAGCCCTTTCAGTATTACTTGGATCAGATGCTTTTAGGAGATCTTAGTGAGGTTTAATTGTTTTAACTGGAGTTAATTCTTTATGGCAGGACGAAAGTTTACATCATACAAAGTACTAACCAAAAACTTTTTAATACCGTGTCTCTCCTTTGCAGTATGGCGCTTAGTGCTACTGGAAAATATGGACAGGTTTAGGATTAGTTATTTCAATTATTTCTTGGGCAAACCTAATTTGATAGTAACATGAAGTAGTTTGTAAATTTCACGTGTGACTAAACTGAGATGGAAGAATGAGTTGGTGAGCGAGAGTCGCTGACCACTCAGCGTTTGAATCTCAACATTGCTTTGTTGTCTACACAGCATGACGAATGGCGTAAAGTGAATGAAAAGTGAATCCAAAAAGAAAGCCAACCTTCGGTACTAATAATGAAAGACCTCTAAGTAAGTGATGGTTCTTAACTATAAGATAGAAGTTCTATATATAGTAAACAGAATGTAGCACATTAAAAACTGATGTGAATAAACCTATTATATGCTCTTCAACCGGGTAAACCATCCAAGTTGAAGATTTCCTCTGAGGACAATACTGAAAAATTGGCTATTAATATCAAATAGAATAAATAAAAGCTCCCTTTAGGATCTGAACTAAGAGTACTTGTGTATCTGCACATACACAGGACAAATTTCTCAGGATTCTTTGAACAATACAATGACTCTACTATCACTAGAAAAAAGGGACTTACTTTCAAGTATGTTTCTCGGGGATTAGCAGTAGGTTCTCTCAAATTAAAGAGTAAAGACACCAGGTCATAAAGTGCCAACTCTTAGCACCAGAGAGAGAGACTTAGAACTTCATAGGAGGTGAATGATGTTACAAATCAGAGAATCTGCTAATCCAGTGCTAGGGAATTGTATCACTCTTCTCAAATGGAAAAAAAAAAAATCTAGGTTTAGGCCAAATAGATTTAAAAAGCTTATCTCTTTTAAACATTTTTTTAGAACTGTAATTTATATTCCTATATAAAATAAAATTGCTGACTTATAGTAAAAGGTTCTAAGTTTCAGAGATGTGAAGAAACAAGAAGGAACTGGTAATACAGTTTATGTAAATCGAGGTCCCAGAACTGAAAATTAAAAGTCATCTCTCAGAAAAAGGAATGTGAAACTGTGTATTTTCACGAACACACCCAAAAACTGTTTTGTGGACAGCCACTTTGACTTCGAATTCTAAACTGCCACACGATACCTTTAATCAACACTAAATCAAGTCTGAGGCAAGACACTAAATGGACAATATTCAAATAGAAAGATAATAATTTCCTTCCTTGACACTCTCCAGCTGTCATTCAGAAGTTGAGTTATTTGATGGCTTGGGAAACCGTGTCCATTGAGTTTTCCTTCCTGACCTGAAGAGACTCACTGCTGATGGACAATAATTCTCGAAGTTCCTTATTTTCAAGCTGGAAAAAAAAAAGGTATGTTTGCTTCAGTATTTTGACTATCAAGCTGCATCACAGTACATTGTTTTGAACCAGGAACAAAAAGCATATTATTTTAGTTTTAAGCGTATGAACAACATAACTGAGAATTTCCTAAAATACTAATTATTAATAATTTAACATAGGTTTACTGAGTAATTTCTATATAGCATGTGTTAGGACTACAAAGAAAGAAAACCAAAGTCTCTCTCCACCTGAGGCATTCAGTGCTTGTACTTTCTGTGGCTCCCACAAGTTTTACTACTGTTTCTTCTACCTTTTAAATTCCTAATATTTTCATTCTGCTCAGTCTTCTCTCCTGGATGCTCTAAAGTTTTGGAAAAAGGAAGAAGAGAGGAAACTACTCACTGGGTCAACAGCCAGGTACCAGTGGATGTCTTACATACATCGGCTCACAACAACACGGGGGCAGGTACCACTGTCTGCACGCAAGTTCTCTATCAGACAAGGACAGTGTGGCCACCAGAGCCCAAGACTTGTCCCAACTCTGGTAACTGGGATGTGGTACTGCTGGGGTTTCAGTCTGACGCTGGTGTCCTTTCCACTTAACATATGGAGGAAAATGTGTTCCACTTTTCCTAAGGGCTGTTTCCATATTTGAAGTAAATCAGGGATAGTGCAGACGAGGTTTTTCTACTGTTTTAACTAACTCCTAATTCCCACTTGGGACCTTGTCACTCCCTTTGATTTCCAGTGAGGGCAGCTTGCACTCTTCATCCTCATTCTCTCTGTAGCAAATTCTGGGAAACGATAACATTTTTAGGCCTTATCAAGAGTCTACATCCATGGTCATTATATCATCTCCCATAGAAAGTGCTTCCCTTAGTACCGTGCATCTCTCCCAGCACGTAGAAACCATTTCAGTCATGCCAGGACTAGTCTTATCCCTTTCAGTAGGCTCTGTGCAGAGACCCGATCTTTTTCTCTCTGATATTTCTCAAAGGGCCCATGACAGCATCTTGTAGTAAGCAGCAACATTCCAATCATCTATTATGTTTTCTTAATAATTTTATGGGATTCTAACACCCCCAGGCCTTTTTTTTTTGAAACTTATTGCTATTATAATAAAAATATCACATGAAAATAGCTTTTAAAAAATCAAGACTATAACGTTTATAAAATAAACAGCATGCCTTTGGCTTTGTTCCCTAGGGCAACTACTTTTAAAACTTTTATCTATTTCTTTTGGTACTTACTTCCATAGTTAATAAAGGAGTAACTAATAATAACTATTATGACTGTACTATTTCTTACTTATTTATTTATTTATATTTATTTCTGAGAGAGAGAGAAGCATGAAGAGGGGAGGGCCAGAGAGGGAGACACAGAATCTGAAACAGACTCCAGGCTCTGAGCTGTCAGCATAGAGCCCAACATGTGGCTTGAATTCAGGAACTGTGAGAATATGACCGGAGCCGAAATCAGATGCTTAACTGACTGAGCCACCCATGTGCCCCTGAGCTGCTATTTCTTGATCATCAATTTCAGGCATTATCTATTTGACTTCCTTTTATAGCAGAGGAGGGATTCTAGCTCACATGTAATCTACCCCTTCTACTCTCTACCCTCTCAATATGATAATATTTCAATTTCTAGCCAATACATAGTTGGCATTTTCATTATTTAATGCTGATTACATCTACTTTCTTGGAAAGGATGTAGAAGAGGAGTTTTACTTTATATCACGAACACACAGAAAACATCAATACACTGCCGAGGATAGCGATGGCATACCTTCCAGACTCTAAGAAAACTCCCTGAATATTTTGAGCCTATAATAGCAACAATCTTACCTCTAATTGGGCTAGTTTTTCCTGAATCTTACAAAATTGGTCATCGTCCACCTGAACTGCTTTCCTCATCACTTCTCCCATTTCACAGATTCTGTCAATCTGACTCTCAATTTCCTGTGAAGATTAAGATTAAGAAAAGAAAAAGGTAAAAAAGTTATCTTTTCTACAGATATGTTCACAAGAACATGTGCATTATGAATTAAAAAATTCATTTAATCTATGCTACAGAAGTTACACAGGAGTTTCATCATAATCTGAGTCTGGAAAGGCAAAGCCATAATAAAGTTATCTTGTAGTAGAGGCACAAATAATTTGTTTTCAAAAGATTGATTCTACTCAAACCAACCATTGGCCTTTGAACAATATCTCTAAGTGGCTGTTTAACTTCAATTTGAGTATTTTTATTGGCAGGAACTCACCACATTCCAAGGTACTTTATTCTATTGTTGGACATGTCTCTTCGCAAGTTTTTCATGTGAGCTAAACTTTTTTTTTTTATTTTACTTTTGAAAGAGGGTGAGTGAGGTGCAGAAAGAGAAGGGGCAAGATCCAAAGTGGGGTCCATGCTGCTAGCACAGAGCCCGATGAAGGGCTCAAACCCATGAACCGTGACATCGTGACTTGAACTAAAGTCGGACACTAAACCAACTGAGCCACCCAGGTGCCTCAAGCTAAACTCTTTCAAGGTTCAAGTTTTTCCTCCAGATAACAGAAAAGTTTATTTTTCTTTTCTAGATGAGAGCTATTCACATATTTAAAATATTCTTGCTCCCTAAAACTTTTGTTAAGTCAGTAAAATGCTTTCAATGTTAAGTCAGAAAGATGCAAATTTTCTTTCATAAATTCCATGGAGCAAATAGGTGCCAATCTTTTCATCCAGGTTTAAGAGATATAGTACATGTGAATGTACAATGACAACTATGAAGCACTCTACAAACATAAGCACAGTTACTAGGTCCCCCGAATTAAATCATAAGCAACCGAAGTGTAGAAACTATGCCACGTATTTTTTTAAAAACCATACTTCTCTCTAATTACCTAGTATGATGCTATGTAGTTCAGTTTAATAAAGGTTTACTGCCTGCCTGCTATGTGCCAGGTACTATGTTAAAGATGAAAGAAGAATTCATGCTCCTTACAATCAAGGAGCTTGCAGTTTAGTGAAAATACAATAATAACCAACCAAATAGTGGGGCTCCTGGATGGCTCGGTTGTTTGAGCATCCGACTTCGGCTCAGGTCGCAATCTTGCGGTTCATGAGTTTGAGCCCTGCATTGGGCTCTGTGCTGACAGCTCAGAGCCTGGAATTTTCTTTGGATTCTGTATCTCCCTCTCTCTCTGCCCCTCCCCCACGCACTCTCTGTCTCTCTCAAAAATACATAAAACATTAAAAAAATAACCAACCAAATTATTTACTGAGCACCTTCAGCACTACCTGGCATTATGTTTGGTCAAGGAAGTAGGCACCCATTAGTCTTGAAAAGAGATCTTGGTGAGGAAGGGAGGAACCTTAGTCCCACACAACGAAAGGCGCCCGAACAGCCCCTTATTCCCTTCTTTCTATTCATATCCTTACAAAGGTACAGGCAAATCAAAGCGAAGGTGATAAACGTGAAAGGAAAACAAGCTTACTTTTCTTCGAAAACAAGCAAACAATTTAAAACGATTCAAGATTTCAATCCTGTTCATTTAGCACTTATTCCTCAAAGTTTCTTACTGCAGAGTGAGACTGGTGAGCTTTCAGGACCGGTTCAGCATCCACAGCCTTCTTAGCAATCATTAATTGTAACATCTGTTTCCGGTACTTGCTCATGATGAGCTCCAAGGCATCCTGGTGTTCCTCCAGGGAGACCCATAGCTCTATCAAAAAAACAAAATAAAATCACTTGGCAGTGATGTCTGGGAGCTAGCTCTCAAAGCCAAAACTCTTTCCAATTGGAATTAATGACACTCCATGAGATGTCGTGAATGCAAAGTTATAAATCAGTGTTTAAGTCCATAAAACTCAACAGTTAAGGTCTATCTGAAAAATAACTTTCTAAGCAGAGGCAGCATAGCTTGGTAGAAACAACATGGGATGTAGAATCAGAAGACACAGGTTTTGGTTCAATTTTGTGAGTTTCTAAGCTTACTACTACTGCTATGCAAATCATTTAAGCCCTCCGAGCCTATTAACTGTGTTGTAATATTAAATACCGGCCTACCTACCTCAAAATGAAGATATGAGATTATAATGGGATGATACATGTGAGAGCTCTCTGTAAAACGGACATACAAATAACTTCATACTAGGGGTGCCTGGGTGGCTCAGTCGGTTAAGCATCTGACTTCAGCTCAGGTCATGATCTCATGATTTGTGTGTTCGAGCCCTGTGTCGGGCTCTGTGTTGATTGCCAGCTCAAAGCCTGGAGCCTGTTTCAGATTCTGTGTCTCCCTCTCTCTCTGACCCTCTCCTGCTCACACTCTCACTCTCTCTCAGAAATAAATAAAACCTTAAAAAATTAGGGGCGCCTGGGTGTCTTAGTCGGTTGAGCGTCCGACTTTCGCTTAGGTCATGATCTCGCGGTTCGTGGGTTCGAGCCCCGCGTCGGGCTCTGTGCTGACTGCCAGCTCAGAGCCGGGAGCCTGTTTCAGTCTGTGAATCCCTCTCTCTGACCCTCCCCTGCTCATGCTGTCTCTCTCTCTCTCTCTCTCCTAGAAATAAATTAAAAAAAACATTAAAAAAACCTTAAAAAATTAAAAAAAAAACCCAAATAACTTCATACTATCACTAATAATTTATTCATCAAACCTGAGAATATATAGACTGAGGATAAAATTCCTTTCTTCCACCTTGCACCAGAGCATTTTTAAAAACCTCTGCAATTTAACTTTGGAGTTTATGTCAATTAATAAAAAATTTAAGCCCTTGAGGATATTAACTGTTTTCTTATGCAAATATCCATGCGGGGATACACAAATATGCCTTGCAATAATTCAACTCTACTAGGCACCCTTTTGATAAGCTGCCTCTAAATACAAAACGAGATGACCTTAAAAAGAGTAATGTAACAAACGTTACCGTTACTGGGCCAGCACGGTATGACGCTTTTGAGAAGTACTAATCAGGAGATCATAGAAAATGTGGTTAGTCTGGCAAGAACTTTTGAAACGTTACTGGGTATTAGAAAATCATAACTACAGAAAAAAGGCCTGACTAACCTCTGTTTTCCTGCTGCAAGTCTCTAATCTGTGTGTTCTCTTGGGACAGCAGAACGTGCGGTTTGAATTTGGACATATCCTTTATATCGGATGCATCTTCTTGATACTGGACAAACAGATACAAACTGAGCGCGCCGTTAACAGAACAGCCGCGGATGCAACCGAAGCAGCAGGAGTCGGGGCTCCAGGGCGGCGTTCCCAGCCCCGACCCCGCAGAAAGGTCTCACCGCCAGCCGCTGCGAGCAGGCGGACCTCTCTGGCCGGCTTCCCACCTTCCTTCTCCCCCCTCCACACCCCTCCGACGCGCAGAACCTGCGGGCCCGGCCCCCTACCCTCCGCCCGACCTGGTCCGGAAGCGCCGTCCCCGCCTCCCTCATAGCGGCCACCCGCCGGTGCAGCGCGGCTGACTGGTCCACCAGCGACTCTGCGGCCGCGTCGTGCTCCCGCAGCCGCTCCAGCAGAGTCTTAGCGTCTGTCAGGATCTTCTCGATGGTGCAGCTCATAGCGGTCTAGGAGCACAGCCCCCAGCCCCGCTCACCTACGTGAACCTGCGCCGAACCTGGCTCAGCGTTAGAGACGTCACTTCCGGTATGTGTAAAAGGCGCCGCGGCGGCCGTCATATGCGCCTGCGCAGTGGCGGCCCAGTCCGCGGGTGACCCACTTTAACCGGCGGCTGCCCTGCAGCCCCGCCCTGCAGCCCCTCCCTGCAGCTCCTCCTTGCGCGGAGGCCTGGCTCCGCCTGCAGCCCCGCCCTACAGCCCCACTCCGCAGCCTCGCCCCGCAGCCCCGCCCCGCAGCCCCGCCCCGCAGCCCCGCCTTGCTCGGAGGCCTGGCTCGCCCTTGGTTTCTGTCGCCCTCCGCGGGGTGGTCAACTTGGCTGGTGGTCCGAGTTTCTTTTTTCACTGTGGGTTGTGATTGATGTGGATTGTTAGTCATCTTTAAAAAAAAAAAAAATTGGTGCTTGGCTTCTTTTTAAAATTAATTCTTAAAAATTGTGGTAAAATACACATAAAATGTAGCATCTTAACCATTTTTGATGTTTATTTATTTTGAGAGAGAGCTAGAGCAAGTGGGGGGAGGGCGGAGGGGGGGTGGAGAGAGAATCACAAGCAGGCTCCACGCTCTCAGGGCTGAGCCGGATGCTGGGCTCGATTCCATCAACGGTGAGATCCTGACTGAGGCAGATACAGTTAGACGCTTAACCCAGTGTAGCCATTTTAAAATGTAAACTCTAGTACTGTGTAAGTGCATTCCCTTCCTTACGAAGCCGTCACCACCATCCAGTTCTAGAGCACCTCCAGAGCTCTTCATCTTGCAAAACTGAAACTCTGTGTCCATTAATTATTAACTCTCTATTTTGCATTCCTCCCGGCCCCTTGTAACCACTCATCTACTCTGTCTCTATGAATTCGACTGCTCTAAATACCTTATATACAGTAAGTGGAATCATGCAAATCTTATTTTTTGTGTGGCTAGCTTATTTCACTTAAAGTGTCATCAGAGGTTATCTATACACTTCAGAATTTACTTCCTTTTTAAGGCCGAGTGATATCCCATCATATGTACGTGCCATATTTTGTCCATCCATTCATCCATTGATGAATAGGGGCGTTGCTTATCTATTTGAGTCCCAGCTTTCAATTCTTTTATGTATTTACTAGAAGTGGAATTTTCGCTGGGGTCATATAATAATAATTCTACCTTAGGGTTTTTGAGGAAAGATCATACTGTTTTCCACAGTGGCTGTACCATTTTACGTTTTTAGCAACAGCGCGTAAGGATTCCAATTTCTCCGCATTCTTGCCCACACTTGGTGTTTTCTTTTTCTTGGATTTTTTTTTATAGCCATCTTTATGGGGATGAGATGCAGTCATTATTTTCTGCTTGCCTATGTTTTCCCTTCTAATTAAATTAACAAATAAAAAATTTAACCAGAATGGCAATGACTTTCATACTATTGGTTATATTGGTTTATAAGCGTTTACCTTTTCAAGCTTGTATGCCAATCTTTGTTCTTTTTCATTCATTACGTTAATGAATATTTTTGGTGAGCCTCCTTTGTTTCAGGCACTGTTTAGTGTCTAAGAATGCTTCAGAGAATGACACAAGATCTCTGCCCTTAGGGGGTTTATATTCTAATGGGAGAAAGAGTTCATACTCTTATAAATAATTGAAGTTCATGACAGCATTAGGAGCCTGGTAAAAGAGGCAAGAGCCTCAGAGCAGCAGTGACAGGTTGGAGAAGCAGCAGGGAAAGGACTAGGCTTTTTACTTTTATATTTCAATACATGGCATAATGGAGACATTCAGTAATTGTCAAGAGGGCGATGGGGAACCAGTTCAACACAAATAACAAATCAGGACCACTGACTGACAGGAGAAAGAATAATGTAGAGCCACAGATGTAAAGAGGTTTCATTCATTAAAATAGAACAAAATACCCTCCCTGAGTGATCTCTTTCACTTATTCACGTTTGACTTCCATTCAGGGATGATGGTTCTCAAATTCATCTCTGTAGTCCCAATCTTTTCCCTGAACCTAGAGTATATATGTTTGTTTCTGGTGACCTCTCAGAACAATGTGACCCATAAAATGTAGTTATGGAGGAAAACAGTACACAAAACTATATAAGGATTAATAAATGATTAAATCAGCTCGAGGAAAATACACACTGTAATGTCCCTCTGGGAAAGTGGCTGATTTCTGACATGGAGCCAGGCAGCCAGGAACGTCTGACCCGCCCTGCGCAGAACGCCGCCTGCTTCTTTTGGGTCCACTTCTCTGCTTGCTCAGAGACCACCTGTTCAGATGAAACTTACTGCTTATGCTTCATCCACCATAACGTACCTGCCCGAGTAGTTCTGTTTTTTTCGTGAAGTCATCCTCTGATCACTAAAAACAATCCTGGCATTGATTAACGATCATATTCTCGATAAATATGGGACTGTGCAGTTGTTCGGGGTGACAGTCATTCTAAGCTGTCGTCCCCTGCTCCCTTTTCTCTTTTACAGCTGACTTGTTTGCGCCTGATTCCTCTCCCATGCACAGTTTTGGAAAGCGGCATTTGGTTGCCTCTAGGGTATTTGCAGAGGGACAAGGTCAAAACCTGATCTCATCGTTGTTTATCTAGGTTCTTCTCCCTCTGTTTCAGTAGAGAGCACATTCATATACCCACATGCTCAAAACAGCATCCTGAAAGTTGTCCTTTATCCTTCCTATTTATTCTTTTTTTTTCTTAAATCGTTTATTGTCAAGTTGGTTTCCATACAACACCCAGTGCCCTTCCTATTTTTTCTTTACAGTTAATTAGTTATCAAAGCAATCTACCTTCTTTATATCATTAGGACATATCTCCTTCTTTTTATTCTCACTGCTACCAGGTAGTTGGACCATCACCTTTTCTCACCCAGATGCAGCAGCAGAAGACCCTGGTCTTCTCCCTACCTCAAGCCTTCTTCTCTAATAGCGCTCCCTCAAGGACACCACAAGCCATGCCGCCCTCTCCATGGTGGCAATTATCCTTCTATGCCCTGCCCATGGTAGGGCTGAAAACGGGACTGGTCATTCTCATTCCCCCATGACACTGCCAAGCAATTACTTGTACTTGATTGTGGAAAACCTCCACTTTATTTAAAGTTTATGTCATCCAGCTCAAGAATCTTCTATCCTTCCTTATTGTTGTCAGTTACTACTTTGTGTAGTCTTCTTTATTCATAGAAGATTTGAAGAATTGGCTTACAGTCTTTTTGATCATTTCATTGGTTTGCTCTCATCTTGGGTGACATTCATGTCTATGTGGGCAATTTATCTAATGTCTTCCTTGGCCTCCTCATTTCTAGAGATGTTGAATTTATTTTGGCCATCTATGACCATATGATCATTCACCAAGAATTGTTCCTCATCGGGAATTTTTTAAATGTTTTATTTATTTTTGAGACAGAGAGAGAGAGAGCTTGAGGCAGGGAGGGGCAAAGAGAGAGGGAGACACAGAATCTGAAGCAGGCTCCAGGCTCTGAGCTGTCAGCACAGAACCCGACATGGGGCTTGAACCCACGAACCATGAGATCATGACTTAAGCCAAAGTCAGATGCTTAACCGACTGAGCCACCTAGGTGCCCCCCTCATTGGGAATTTAAACTTTCAGGGGCATGTGGGTGGATCAATCAGTTGAGCATCTGATCAATCAGTTGAGCTTGGGTCTGTGCCCCTCGCCCATTCATGCTCCCTTTCTCTCTCTCTCTCTCAAAAATAGTAAGCATTAAAAAAAGGAATTTAAACTTTCATATCTAATGATTTGACTGCAACTTTCCTTTTAATCTGTCTAGTTCTTGCAGTCTTTTCTCCCACTACTGTCTCTGACCTCATCCAGCTCTTCCATTTCTGAATATGTCCATAAGCTCTCTACCTCTATCACATTCTTTTCTTATGGTCTAATTTTCTTTCTCTGACTAGACAGGGAGTTTATGATAGGCAATCTGAACCACAGTCTCTCTAGTACCCTTAATTTCTGTGCATATATTATTAACTAATATTAATCATTAGTTAATAATATATGATATATTTTAATTATCAAGTAATAGTTACATATTATGATAAATAATATTTATTGCATATAATTATATATTATTAATTAGTGATTATTATTAACATACATTATTTTTTTCTTTTAAGTAGGCTTCATGCCCAATGCAGAGCCCAAGACGGGGCTTAAACACGGGTCTCAGATCAAGACGTGAGCTGAGATCACGAGTTGGATGCTTAACCGACTGAGCCACCCAAGTGCCTCCGTGCACTTTTTGAAAAAGCCAAACGCAAACAGTAAACTCTAAACGTTGACCAATGCTATGATTCTAGTAGTGGTTAAAAGAGGATGCAGAAATAAGGGAGAGTTTTTGTTGTTATTTTTGCTTTTATTTTTATGAGCAAGTATTGAGTATGTTTGTAGCCTCCGTGTGGGAAGGATCCAGTGGAGGAAGACTTAAAAGAAAGGAGGGGGACATTTGAAAGAGGAAGAACCAGGATAAAAGGGACATGGTAACTATTTAACACATCTTTGCAGAAGGTACTATCCCCACAGTCGGAGCCACTGCTGCTGCCATTCTATCTCAACCCCCTATGCCAGGATCTTGGAGAAGACCTTCAAGTGGCACTGCACCTTAGAACAAAGAATAAAAGATGCCCATTTTACCCAAGAGCAGCATCCTATCCAAATCCCAGTGATAACAGAACTGTGAAAGGGTGAGAAGCAGTTTCCTATCCTGGATAAAACTGAGTTCCTTGCACCTGATCACATCGAAATGAGTGAACTCATCAAAAATAGTTAGCAGACTCTTACATTTCAATGCTAATCAAGTTTTCTTCCTGGCTGTGAATGCCCATCTATCAAGTGCATGAAAGTGAGAAGATGAAATGGTTTCTGGTATATGGTATTTGCCTCTCAGGAGACATTTGGGATGAAATTGTTGGTCTAAGATTAGAAAACTGTGTCTCTTTTATTTTGCTCCTTTGTCCTCTCTATAGTAAGTTTTGAGCTCTCATACCTATTTTTTTCATGTTGCTGCTAACTAGGGGCTTTCTAGGACTTGGTCTTGAAAAA